GAGAGAGAGAGAGAGAGAGTACAGACGAAAGTATCAACGGTGGTAAACATGAACTTGTACACAGCACGCAATAATGGAAGTTTGCTGAGTGCAAGTGCGCCACTGAAATTCGTCTATACTCCATGATCGTTGTGTGTATGGCTGTGGGTTTAAGCAAAATACAATAGCACAGTTTACTTTTCTTTCTGTAATAAGTAGGGATATATATTTGAGCTGACAGGAGTTCAAATCAAACTTAACAATTGGGTTGTCCGTGATGTAAATAAGTTGCATTTGTAAATGCAACGTATTTCACACGACGTATTTAACGGCGACAATTGCGAGTGCCAGACATTGAACGCCTAGTTGAAGGAACGCGAGATCAACGTAAACTCCGACTTTGTCAAATGCACCGCGACCAACGACCGCGCAATCACATCAATGTCCAAATTCAGCAATCGGACATATGAGCTGTACAACAAGTGCTCGGCCATCGTTCGGCAGAAGGTAGAAACCGAGAAGGCCCGGTCGGCGTGGATACTGGTAGTCTCATGCTTCTCGGTGTTCCTCTTCGCCACGTTGTTCTGCATGCACAAACGGAACCGCAGGCGACGCAGGAAGCAGCAGCAGCAGCAGCAGCAGCAGCAGCAGCAGCTGGCAGCGAACAACGCCAACACCGAGCTGCTGAACAGCAATCCGACGGTTGGCAATTACGTGAAATAATCGCCGAGAGATCGTGCAACATCGTGTGAAATACGTTGCATTTGTAAATGCAACCCAATTGTTAAGTTCGAGTTCAACTCCTGTCAGCTCAAATGTATATCCCTACTTACTACAAAAGGAAAAGTAAACTGTGCTATTGTATTTTGCTTAAAACCCCTCAGCCATACACGCAAACTGTTGTACATACATACATATATATATATTCCATTGAATTCCAATGAATATAAGGGAAATGTACAATGTTCCAACTGCAATGTTTTTTTTTTTTTTCATTTCTTTCTTCCTCGAAAATGAATATCCGGTAAACAAATTTCTATACCTTATTAAATTCTAAATTAATTTCTTTGTGTTATTAATGGCGTGATGTTTTTCCTTTCAGTTTCTAAATGGCGCTCACGGAATAAAGCATCATTATCATACAAGCTTTTAAAATCTTTTGATATTACACTTAATTATACTTAAACTTACGGTAAACTTATGTTCACATAATACGGCAACGTTCATCACCCTGCAGATCTCCCTGAAACATAAAAACGATATTTCATGAACAAAAGAAACAAAAAAAAAAAGAACATTAAATATGTGAGTAACTAGCGCCGACCCCAAATTCGCTTCATCCACTGTGAAATATTCGTTTAGTTACAGAGATAAGCAACTATTAATGAATTCCATTGTTATAATCACACATGAAAGATGTGTACATGAAAATATGAGATACATCTCTCTTCGGTAATGCAATATTACACTAATTCTTTTCTCTTTTCACATAAGGTGCTTTATATATATTACTGTATTAATACGAAATAATTTATAATACATAAATACACAGAATTCATGTTATTTGAAAACGTTGCTATCGCTCACATTCTAAATAAAGCAAGCGCATACAATTCTTCAAATTACTCGATAACTCGATTATACATATACATACGTATATTAATAACTGTGAAGCAAAAAATTAATATAATACCAGAGAAAATAATTCGTTTGCCCACTGAAACGCAATATAGAAGATGATAATCAATGTAAATTTCTCGCATTCACGCGTGTCGGTACTCAGAAAATCCGAAATTTAAATAAGACAAAATAATATGTAATCGAAATTGTTCAACTCATAAATACGAAAGAAAGCTTTAAATATTATCTACGCACATACTATTCAATAATACGTAAATTTTACAATAATAATATATATCGTAATTAAAGACAATGTGGTTAAATGATGGGATGATAAGTCTTAACAAAGATTATATTAATTCTCGTAAGGCATGAAATTTTAGTTAAGCGGTGAACATCAAGGCAAAGTGCTGCATGAGAATCAACAAAATATGAAGCAAAAATAATTCCTATATTATGAATGCGAAGAGTATTAATTACTGACAACGTAATGTTCGAACATCTGATAGGTTTTAAAATAACTTACATAAAGTGCCCATCAGAGTTGTGTGCCCTCACCCTTAATACGGGTAGAGATATCTTCTCTATGGAACAAGAAGTGAATTGTTGTGTGAAAACGCTACCCCCCAAAATTAGTAGTCTATAACTGCAACACTTATTCTGTATATAACAAATCTCCAGAACGAAATAAAAAATAATGTCCGATTGGATATTTAACTACTTTTTACATAAATGTTAAGTTAACCGCTGTGATGCCTTAAAAAGCTTCGGATAAGTACTACTTATAGCCACATTGTCTTCTTTCATTAGCGTTTAAAGAACGTGATCGGAAGGCAAAACTTCCGATGTTTATTATTCTTCCGATTGTCCTTTTAATTTCCCAAGACAGCCTTTTTCAAATTAGTTGCACGACTACAATTTGCCAAGTTCAATTTCATACGTCGGTAGTATATCAAAATATTGCTGCAGTTAAAATATAATGCTGATATATCATCATACCCATTTCTTCCTAACGTCTACTTGTCTTTATTTCGAAAAATAGTTTAAAGCTTTCATTTCACTACGTACAACATACAGTGTAATACATTATATATAAAAAAAAACCGTTTACTGCATTCTTACCTGTTGATGATGAAGCTCTTCTGTTGATCGGAATCCCAAACTTTCTCTGTGTCGAGACAAACTTGTGGCTAATTGCTGCCTTTTGCGCTCAGAAGTTGCAAGTTCCTATGAGAAAATTTGTATTCAATGTTAAATTAATTAAATGCATGACGATATGAATTTATGTTATCGAAAATATCAAAATTTAATTAAACATTATAAGGCGCAAAATTGAACAAAATGTACATTTTATTTTTTCGTTAAATGTGTAGATCGTAATAATACGTACTTCTCCTTCGTTATTTAGTAAAGTTGTAGTCATGTTGTCCGCTGTAAACCATTTCTGTCCCTTCATGACAATGTTGGATGGCGGCTCGTGTGTTGCACCGATATCAGCCGACCATACCAGCAGATTAGCACCTGCATCCAGCTTTACAGTACGATGGAACTTGAAGATTGTTTCCAGACTGCCAGCTTTGCGAATGATTTGCCATCCACTCAGACTTAGTTCCTGTTGCAGAAATTATGATTTGATATGAAATATATTTCTGATATTGTGTGCATTACAGTTTAAGCCAAAGTCAGACATGTGCTACAAAAGATTTTTAACGTTTCAGATTTCACATTCACCTTATTGCCCTTATTGGTGAGTTTCACGAATCGTCCCTGAGGATCCGCTTCTGTAATCTCTATGTCACCTTTGGCAGTACAGATTACGCTATAATCGCTACTGCTGCGCTCCTCACTTTCCTCCAACAGTGTACGTTTCCGTTTGCCACCTCTGATAGGAGTATGTCTGGACGGAGTTGCTCTACCAGTGGACAGATTTCCCGACGACATTGGCGTGATGTTTAATCTGTAATTAAGGTAAGTTAATGTTACTACATAATTTTTATTACTTATATGCAAGAATTGTAAATAATGACGTACCGAGCCTCTTCGGACTCGAGCATTTTGCGATATGCCGCAATTTCCAAATCAAGCGCCACCTTAGTATCCATGAGATCTTGATATTCTTGCAGCTGGTGAGCATTTTCTTCGCGCAAACGCGTCAATTCCGATTCTAATGAAGTCAAACTTTCCACATTACGAGCGCGATCATTTTCTCGTAAATTCTCCAAATCCCTGTTGAGAGATACATTCACATTTTTCATATATTTAATTACAGTGTTATATTCGTTTGTAAACACACAATATTAATTAATCTATCGAATTAAGAATTATAAAAATAACTTTTGTTTCTCAGATAAGTGTTTGCTATCGCGGTGGAAGTTATTTATATAACTCAACCCCACAAGTACATGGGAAATCATTTTTAATATAATCTTTAATCTTCATGTTTCATTCTTTAACTTGTTTTATAAACGAGAGAATTCTATGAAAAATAATTACCTTATGCGTGCATTAAGAGAGTTGTTAGCCATTTCGAGATCGCAGATTCTCGAATTAAGCTCTTCGTTCCTAGCACGAGTCTGTCTCAGTTCTTCAACCGCCGCACTAGCTGCTCCGCTGTTACGCTGAGCATGAGACGCCAAGTTCTTGATTTTGTTCTCATACAAAAGCTCGATCTCTTCCCGATTAGCGCGCGTCTGCGCTTCATACTGGTCGCGCAATTCTTGCAGGGATTGTTGCAATTTAGCCTCATACTGCTTTGTGAGACGACCATCAATCTCAGATATTTCAACCTAAAATAATGCAAAAATAATTATACTTTGACCGTTTATATTTTGATTTGCATTTTTTTTAAATAAAATTTGACATTTTTTATTCACTATTCATAAAGGAACCAAAGTCGCAATCCACAACGAATTTAGAATGTATCTCTAAGAATTAACAAGTTATCATTTTTACAAAAACTGAAAAACAAAGCAATATTATTATTATTATTCTTATGACGATATGACGAAATGTAAGAAAATCTGATTCGCAGATTCTGAAAAAAGCTTGTTCAATAACTTACTTGTCGCTTCGTACGAGTCTCTGAAAGTTCCTGCTGATAAACTTGATCTTTAAAAATGATATCTTCCTTGAGACTCTGAATATTGTTTTCAAGATCAATTCGCTGGAGAGTCTCCTCCTCCAGGTGTTTACGAGCATCATCTAGCAGTGCTTTCGTTCGCTCTAGTTCCTTCTCCAATTCCCGCTCCCTCTCGGCGAGCTTCTTGCGTTCCGCCTGCGATTGGTTAAACTGTGATTGCAAATCATTGCAGCGCGTCTCGAATATCATCGAATTTCGTTCCAAGATCTGGATATCCTTTGTCTTCTTATCCAATCTGAAACAAACGATACACGTTAATCATTCATGTGTTAATTATGTGTTTTTATCAGTGTAACTCGTGTCGTTTTAAATTCCTATTATACTTTCGAACAACTAGCTGTAATTATTCACGCGAACATTCTTGTTACATTCTCGCTGAAATTTTTCGTAAGCTCTCACACCAGCACAGGAAGTTTTCAAACTGGAATTTGTGCTCAATTGTGTAGCGATAGCTTCGTTATAGCAAAAGAAAAAATACATGTGTTCAATTAATCCCAATTTTATAATATTTTCTGCAAAAAATATGCACAACATATAATAAAATAAAATGTTAATCTAATCATGATTTCAAAATTTCACATATTTACATCAGATTTTAATGTGCATGAAAAATCATGCCGATTTTAATAGAAAATTAAAAATTATTTCAAGCAATTTCGATAAAAAAAAAAGGGAATTTTCGTGAATATTGACAAAATGGTTACGCCTGAACGCGAGTTTCATCGAAAACGTCAGATTTCCACGAAGGTTCTTTGTACATAAAATACTCGGAATAGACATCATCATGCTATCCTTGGCCTACTGCCTTAAAACAGTATGATGCTATAGCTATTCTCGTGGAATGGAAATTATTATCCTTACTACGGTATCCTTAGAAACCATTGATTTAGCTGCTTTATCGTTATCAATCATCCTTTTATATTAAGTTGAAAAATGAGCTTTGAATTAAGCAAAAGTAATAAAAAAATGATAAAATTCTTTGCAAGATCCTTGCTCTTTGCAAGAATCTAGCGAGACTTTCGTATTCTACGCGACAAATGCTTTGCAAGATAACATTCTAATGCGTCAGGCAATCTGATAAATTCAGTTTCATTTACATTCCGTTGATTGCGAGGAAGAAACCGCGCGCCGGGTAGGAGACACGAGTTCGTGCTTCTATTTCAAGCAGTTGCACGACCCACATTAAGAATTTTATTTTCTACCATGGTGGCCCAGGCTCGTTGTCTTAATATTCGCTCGGTTACCACACGGAAGATCTCGGTGGATTCTTAAACAGAGCTATTAACATTACAGTCCGCTATTATTTTATTAAAATGCACAAATATGTGCGCGTGAATTGTAATGTGTTAAAAATAATCAGAAATTTATCTTCTAAATTTTCTATCATCTCGATACCTTTCATTATATTTTTATAATGTGTCTCTAAGCGCGCGTATTTATCTGTAAATTCATAAATTTATGTTTGAAGCTCATTTTTTTTGCAATTTCGGCAAGTTTTGAACATTAAGAAGAATCAGAGTTGTAAGTTAACACACGTTCAATGGGATTTCAGTGGGAGCAGTGAACACCACTGCTCCAAACAATTGTGAAGCAAGGAAGGGAGTCTCGAAGTTTATATGCGTTTCTTAGCAGGGGACGATGGTCGTCGCCCTTTAGTTCCGCCGCAGCCAATCGGAATGAAATGCGGGACGAACGAGACGCTTCAGATGTGTTACAACGTTATGTGCATCTAGCCATGCATAAGCGAGCGACATACGTTGCAATTATGTACTACAATGTCAAGTTTAACTGCGGAATGATGTTGCATAAATGCTCGCATAATGTTTAAAAATCGAAGCTTTAAGTGAAGTTTCTATCTTACAATTATATCTTATCGCTTTATTGCTAAATTTTATTTGCTACATTTTATATTAAACATATAAGTAGAAAAGATTTTTTAAATGAAGATAAGAGAGTCCATTTTATAAATAAATTTTTGATGTAGAATACTTAGCACTTAAATTAATATCATTCAAATTTAATTAAACGAAGATTTTAAGGTTTAATTTAATTGTAAGGTCTTAAATAATATGAATTTTTCCTAATTCTTAACTGATAATAACACTTTCTAAATGTGCGGACTCTAAATTGTTTAAGTTGCCTAGGCGCAAGCTAGACCCTTTCCACAGTATATTATACGACACCCTGTATATATTCCTGACCCTAGACGCGGCCCTCGCAGCTCCAAAAATGGTAAGGTTTTATACGCGCTCGCGTGTAACACCGGCCACATGCCACGATGTAAAATGGCTGACACCGAGTACATGATGTCATCCACGATTCCGTAGAGTGTTTTCGCAGACGGCGATCGATTCGCGGTCAGAATTTCACGTTTACTCGAGGGCGTCCTCGAGGCCGCGCGCCGCTCCTTCCGCAGCTTGTCCACAATATTCGAAATTCAATGTTAACGTGATATCATTCGCCTCGAAATAAATTGCCTCATCCTTTCATTTCTGTCACGCAGTGCATGAGGAATGTGCAAACGTATTCCTACATCTGCAATTAGATCACCGAATAATAACAATTCTTTCACCTCCAGAGAACGGATAAGCTGGAAAAACATATTTTTTTTCGGAAAGATCCAAGTGCTTTCCACCGAAGAATGCGAGACAAGAAAATGCAAAACAAGAAGCTTCGAAGACTTTTCGAAGAATTTAGATTCTTTAACGAATTTCTGTAACAATTTTGCATGGGATATTTTATATTATCGAAACTGCATTTGCGGCATTTTTAATATTTTAATATTCAAAGATTGACAAAGATACAAAGAGAGAAAAAGCTGTAAATTCATTCAAAAATTCTATGTAAATTTTGTTTACAGTAAGATATTTTTATTTTAAATATTTACCTTCTCCGGCTGTCAGAAAATATTTGTTTCATAAAATGCTATAATTTTTTTTTTACACACCCAAGGATCACTAAATTCGTAAATGCTAAGCACGACAGGAAGAGAGAGAGAGAGAGAGAAAGAGGGAAGGAGAAAACATCATTAAGTGTTGTCTGACGCATAATGAAGGCCGTAGCCTCAGTAATTTTGGTTGCTGACACAATTCCTCTCATGAAAAATCTTCAGTTCTCGAATACAATGAAACAAAAGAATCACGCTATAATGAATGCAATATGATATTATGAATCCACAATAGAATAATAAGAAGCAACCAATAATGTCGCGATTGTCATATCGGTACCGAAAACTCGATCGTGAAAAATTCTTTAGCTCGAAAATTTTACAGATGACTCGTGATCATCTCCGATCGCAGTGCTCAATTAATATTTTATGAAATGATTTGAAATGCAAATGTTATTTCGAAAGAGATGCAATTGTTTGAAAGACTGGAAATTGCTGTCCTCCACTCCCTTCGTAAAGACCCAAGTAAAGCATAGTAGGAGTATTACGGAGAAACGTGCAGTACTGGTTGTGCCGCGAGGCACCGGCCACGTGTAACGGTACATCGGAAAACACCGTAATTTCGCAAATAAAATTCCAATCTATTACGCACCCAATAATTACGAAACGAAATGGTGTTCATTCAATCAAAATATAAATTTTTTTTTTCTCCTTGCATTTTCAATAGCGATTCTAGTAAGCTTTTGAAAAATAAATCGCTAAATAGGCTATTGTACTTTCTATTCTTTTTTGCATCCATTTTTAAGTTTCTTTAATTTTTAACAAACTAACGAACTTTCGACACGACTGAGTCTCACGAAAATGCAGGAATCCGAAATCGGGAGTATAATAGGAGTATTTCATTTTCGCACGTAGGTCGAAATCGATCGAGCAGACCGTAAACCATTAGTAACCACTAAGAACCACTAATAGAATGCACTACTATATAAAACAAAGTCAATGTTTTTAGGTCAGGTGATATACCCACGCTGACATCATCGCCGCATAGTAAACGTGACGCAACCGTAGTAACGTCACGTTACAAAGCCCGGCCACGCCGCCCGGCTCCGTTCATGCTTCTCCGAGCCGGGCGCGGTGCGCGTGGAGTGGCTCACTCATGCCGAAAATCATTTCCTTCCCACGCAAAGGTCGCCACTTTCCTCGATTCTGTCCTAACTGTGCTTTGCTAATTTCTCTTTTCCTTTAACAGCTTTTCTTCATCCTAGATATGCATTTGTTAAATTTTAGATCCGAAAAATTCGTTAGAGTTCAGTTTTGGAAAGTGTAAGGAAACGTCGCCATGGAAACCTGACTAAAAGTGTGATTTATCGGAAAACCATTATCGTAAAACTTTTTGAGATATTGTTAACGTTAGACTCGGCAATATATCTTTATTTGTGTTTTACTATCTTGACTTCGACTTGTAAATTCTGTTTTTTGTAGTTAATAATCTTTTTCGAAATTATTGGAAACACTTCAGTTTAACAAATGGTATAAATTTTCAGAAAAGTAGACTCGAAATTTTTTGTCAAATTTACTAAATTATATGTGTCATTTGTGTTTTACTAAATTATCATGTTTCTTTTATAATTTTGATTATAATATTTGCAAGTTTATCTTTTGTTACTTCCTACAAGTGTGTTCTTTATCATTTATATCATTTATAAAAACTGATGAGTAATTTAACCTTGCTATGTTGACAAACATGTTCGACAAAAATATACGTATAATTATACTTATACGTCATGACTGGCAATATAACAGATATCAATATAATCCTTTTAATCGACGAATTTTTTTCGCGACTAATCGCGGCGGGAATTATTGTTGCACAGCATGCAATAAAGCAATTGATAACGCGACGACACAAAAGTATCGATCCATTAACGTTCTAATGTTCAATGCGCTTATAACCGGTTGCTAGGATTCCATTCTCGCAATGACCTAATTCCATTTTTTTGTTATTCAACCTTGTTATCGTTTTCTGCATACCTCTGCAACTTGTAAAAAAATTGATAAAATACTAAACTATTGCATAAAATATTATATATCAAAATAAATAGCTATAACATATCTTCATCGAGGAAAGTCGAAAAGTACAGAAACAGAAACATTTTTTGATCGATTTGTTTGTCGATGGAAAAATACAATACAGAAACATGTTCGACTGATTTGGGAATCGAATGTTGACTTTTCCTCGTAAATGTATGTTATGATCACAGAAAATATGAAAATAATTTTTACATTTAATTTTTAAATGGACGCTCTTATCTTAAAGTTTCACAGAGATAACTGAGTCGCGAAAATATCAAGCGAATGACTAATAGTCCACAAAGTTCAGATGATAATGTAAACACTTTGTTGATGTGTAAATTAGACAAAACGGCATGTTGACTTTCTTTGCACAGTTATCAGTATTAAAATAATTTTAATAAAAATAAAATATGTCAATTTAGGATTCCTTCTCTTTAAAAGTGACTGCACGTATTACATAATGGATACTCATAATAAGTACAACTAACTTTGCATCATCGCTATTTCGAGAAACATCAATTCTCATGATATGAATAATTCATAATATATATGGTTACACATTTCATTTACGTGTAATGAACGATAATTCATAACGAGTTAAATCAAGCTTATCTTTGAGATTGCTTGATTTCTGTTAGAAAACTTATTCATCTCATTGCTGCTTTTAATCCAAGCCCTTTATTCCTTTTTTCAGATGAATGTCTCGGGCTCCACAGTGTTCACATCCGAGCTTCATTATTTCGTTAACTACAGCAAAATTTTTTAGCACAAAACAAAATGATAATGTCTACGTTATATATTACTGCTATAATGAAACTTCACTTATAAGCCTCGACAGACAGACAAGATATTGCAAGCTTGATAGCATATCTGTTAATACTATGCCTGATAAATATTACTTTATTTATCCATTTAACAAATAAAACGGTATAGAGAAGTACATTAAAATACTCATCATGTATTACGTTTTAAGTTAAATTATAGATCATACATATATATTATTAAACTTACTTGCTCTTGAGATCCTCCTTCTCATCCCACAGGCGTTTGGTGTCGATCTCGAGCTTGGCGCGTTCCCTGGACGTATCGTCGAGCAGCTTCCGGGCGTCGGAGAGCTCGTGCTCGTACATACCCTTGATGTTGGACACCTCCCGGGTGATGGTCTCCTGGGTGGTCTGCACCTCCCGCGTCAACCGGGAGTTCTCCATCTCCAGGTGACGCACTTTGTCGATGTAGCATGCCAGGCGATCGTTAAGATTTTGCAGATCCTGCTTCTCCTGCAGCCGGGAGTAGCAAGTTGGGCTGAGCGGGCTACCGGGTCGCCGGCCGCCGATCGGCGTCGAAGTACTCTGGGGTGGCGATTGAATGTTGCTCGACGATGACGAGGCGGCGACGGTGGCGGTAGAGGCGGCGGCCGCGGCCGCTGCCGCGGTCTTCTTGCTCGACTTCGTTGACATGGTTGAATTTTGCACGCGGTCTCGCGCTTCTTGCGGTTTCGTTCGAACTACGTGTTCTCGGCTAGATTCTCGGACACAGAGCGGCAGTACACGTATCTAACGAATCATGAACTCGCTCCGGAAAGCGTTAGCGTGCCCGTGTGAGAAATCGAGCGCGTGTTTCCTCACGATCGTCACTCACCTCACAGCTAAATGCGCACTACTACTTAGCCAACGCAGCCAACGGTCGAACTAGTGCGCCTGCGACGACGCCACATCACAAGCCGGTTCCGTGACGCCATTAAGCGGGAGAAATGTACGGCGAATTGCTATTGGTCTTCGCGATGAAACGACGCTTGAACGACGCCGTCCGATCAACCAACGGGATTTCAGGATTCGGATGAGCGCGCACAATGCCGCGCGAAGCAATTAGCGTTCAAAGCCGGTGACAGTTGAATAGTAATTAAACAGAATACATGACTAATCGTATTACGAATAATTAGAAAAAATGCGATAAAAGTACGGAAAGAAATCCTACGAGACATTTGACCACTCGATCTCCGTTGAAATTTCTTTCCAAGCGTATTAATTCACATATAAACATATTGACATTTCGCTATTAAACGTGAAATAAGATGTCAAGACTGCGTTAATGTTAAGAATGTCTTAATATAAAAATTGGATATTTAAGGAATGTTGAATGGTGGGTGCAAAATAATAGAAAAAGCTGCGTTATATAAATAAATATTGCGTTATAATATATTTAACAACCAGTGTGGTAACAAAGGTGTAGGTGTCTCTTTTACGTACTTATAGCAACAGAACAGCACTCTCATATGATACAAGCTTTGACCTGTAACTCTTCATATATTTTATATATGCATACATCGCCTTTGAACTTTGAAGGACCGTAGTAACATAACAAGTGATATATCACTAGAAAAACACAATTTGTTCTATCTCAGGCAACTGATGTAACTTATAAGATTCACTTGATGACTTTTATGATCCTAAATAGAAATATATATATATATGTATATATATATGTGTATATACATATCTCTTTTATTAAAGAATATGATTCTCTATAGCGAAATGTTTTATTAAATATATAGATATAATCTGTTACATCTGCCTCTTTTTAAATATCTATATATAATAACCATTATTATAAGAGAAATTCGAAAATCTCATGTATATGTACATGTATATTCATATACATATACACACATCATATATGTATATGTATATAGCTTCTCTCACCGCTACATACCGTGCATTTTTTGGTCTTACGGAGCAGTGTTGCTTCAGTCGTCTTTGGTAGAAGCATGCGTGCATGCTTTTTTTTCGCATAACGCTATCTCGCATAAAATAGCACAAGACATTACTCAATTAACACGCGTCTGTTCCCTGAGTTGGTATACAACCAGATTTCAGTCTTTGCCATTTTGTTATTTCATCTCTCACAGCGATTTTACCGCACATCGGGTAAGACAGTCCTCTCACTAAACACACATTATCTCTTACATGTATGCAAGAATTCTATTGTTTTTAAAATTTTTGGCTTTATCTTCATCATCATGTATAAAAGAAAAAAACAATTCAATCGTCGAAATATTTGCCGTTACTATCAACAACAGTGAACATATCCACGCAAGATTGACGTACATAATCCATTTTTCATCACGAATTACATTTACAGCAGCAATTGTGCTATTTTCAAAGAGTTCACACAATTACGAAGAATTCACTCATTTTCCTAATTTGGTCATTTTTCTAATGAGTTTCTTTCTCTCATTTCATCAGCAATCAGCTGGAAACTGTTAGTCGATCTTGAACTTGCTATTCCACAAGTTCCTTTTTCTCGATATATTTCAATTTTGAATCATTTTTCTGAGACTTGCATACACAAATAAAATAGATCTTCTCTTAGTGCTTTGTGACAGAGAATTGTGCAGAGGAAAAAATAGAATTTTTTTTTACTTTTATGTTTTAAACTTTCGAAAATATCGTAGATATCGTAAAACATTATCTACTAAATAACGTTGTTATTTCTTTCCATAAAATTACCTGTATAAGTTATCAGTAATCAATTAGTTATCAGTAATGTTTAACATAATTAGAAACAAAATTTTTTTAAAGTCGTAAAAATGTATTTAATTATTTTCGATAACACTCCGTAAAAGAGCGCTTAATGTACTATAACTTTTTTTTTTTTTAACAAGTCGTATTTTTCTACGCACAATTTTTCCCCCTTTTCCATTATTGAGGTACCACTGGCGATAACAGTGCTCCTATTGTTTTTTTTGCATAATCGCGCGTTATCTCTACCATATTACTTTATGTACTCATAATGAGTTTTCTGAGGCACATTCACCACATATATGTATATTCGTCATAAGCATTCGCTAAAATTTTCTTCATTTTGGCCCGTCAATCCTTATTGTTCATATCTTAAATCGTTCTTACTGATCGCAGAAGCGGTCGCCGGAAGAAAATTTTAACGGGAGCATGTAATACGTTATAATTACAATAATTTATAACGTGTTTCATTAGTATAATCACAGATAATCCGGCTTAACGCAACAAAAAAACGACTCACCGTCTTAACTCGCATCCGTCCACTTACACTCCCGATAGCGGTAATAAAAATAAAATTCTGTATTATATTGCGTAAATTCTCGCGAAGAAACATTGATACTTCTTTGAGACCCTGACCACAGTGATACAGTATTGTTTCACCCACGTCCATTTTTCCCATCTATCAGATACTGCAAGATTGCACTTGCATCAATCGTCAATGCGTTTTCGCGTGCTGATCGTCCGTTAGATAGAAAATGGATTTAAAGAAGATGAGATGGCGTAGTTATGTAATTAATTACATATACATATAATATTCTAAATCTCTCGCGAGATAGGAATGATGCGATGCTTGCGTCTCGTACAAACGCTGAAGGCAGCGGTGTTACATACTGTGTAAAATGCATAGGAAACAAGATGAGAATTTACTGGAGCGATTATACTGGACCGAGCGTAAGTAGGAAAACTCTATTCGACTACGACTGTGGGAAGGCGTTTGGACCGCTTGCCGGCCTTATGTTTTCTATGGACGTTTGTTTCGTCTCGCGTCGCGACTTGCGTCGACGACTCGTACGACTCGGCGGAACTGTCAGAATAGTTGACCAATTCGTCGAGTTTGCGTTTCCGCGATCGCGTCATCGGCCCGTTACTATTGCTACCGCTATTCTCCTCGTCAACGTCGCGTCGGTGGCGATGTTTCGTCGCGGCTTCTTGCTGACACGACGAGTCGAGGTCGGTGTTGTGCTTGCGCTTCGCCGTTCGCTTCATGGTTTTGCCAGCAAACCTCTCCTGCGGCTGCGGGAGTCTCGGGGAGTTTGAATCCGAGGAAGAAGACAGGGAACTCAGGTACTCGTTGACTCTTTCCTCACTGAAGTCAAAGGCGCTCGGCGACAAAGTGGAAGCGGTCGTGGTCACGTTGCTCACTGCGGCGCTTGGCGGATGCAGCAATTGAACCGACGACGGACTCGAGGACGAGGAGGAGGACGGTCTCGACGTCGAGGAGCTGGAAGTGGAGCATTTGTGCTTGCGACGTTGCGCCAATTTAGCGAAATCGACCGCGCGCAGCCGGAAGCTATCATTCGCGCGCTCGAACGTCGATATCGAGCTGGTGGTCGCCGTCTGATCCACGTGGACTGCGTCACTCGGCGTCACTGGTGGCATTGTATTGTTATTCATCAGCCACGGATGATAGACCAAATCGTTCGCGGTAAGTCTCTTGCTCGGATCGACCATCAGCAAACTCTTCATCACCAGCTTCGCCGCGTTGGACGCGTGACTCCAGACGTTACTGTCGAGATTGATCTCGCCGGCTCTGATGCGCGCCGCCATTTCAGGTGAGAGCGGAATGCCGGACAACATGAAATACAGAATGGTGCCCAAGGACCACATGGTCGCAACTCTCGTCGTATTCCTGCCGGGCCAATACTTCCGGAGCGGCGTACGGTAGCGTGAAGCACGGCGTGTGCAACGGCTCGCAGTTGCTCTTCATCCGCGCGAATCCAAAGTCCACTATCTTTACCGGCGAGTCCTCGCCCTGATGCACGAATACAATATTTTCCGGCTTGAGATCGCGGTGCACCACGCCACGCGTATGCATGTATCGTACCGCGGACGCCAGTTGCCGCATCACTCGCCTCGCCTGCCGCTCCGAGAAGGATCGCCGTCGCTGCAGCAATTCGCCGCCCGAGAGCAGCTCCATCACGAAGTACGTGTGAGCTCGGTCGTTGTAGACGCCGATCAGTTTCACCACGTACGGGTTGCCCTGGCACACGCGCAGCAGATTCTCCTCGCGGCTACAGTCCACTCGCTGACTGACGATCTTCACGGCATATTCCTGCTGCGTCTGGCGATGACGACACCGCAGGCAAATCGAGAAGCTACCGTCGCCCAGAGCTGGCGCTTCCCGGTCCAGCTCGTAGATCTGGAAGAATGCGGATTCTTCAAAGTGCGTGGCGAGCAGATTGGACATCGAAGGCCGCTGCGACCGAGTACCCTCCTCGTCGCCGAAAATGTCCCTGCTCACCGCGTTGTCGGTGAATAGTACCGAAGGCGCCACATACGAGTAACCCTGTAAAACCATCCGCGTGAGAAACTCGTCGGCGTTCCACGGTGTGGAAGCGTAAACGCATTTGATAACGCGTGCGCGTATCTTAAACGCCAAGTGTCAAATGAATACCTTACCCAAAAATGCTTATCTTGTTTGTTATCGTCGGTCACCGACGACGGGCTGTTGACGTTCATTTTCGTAAACTCCTCGGAAAAGTTGCTGGTGTCCAGCTCGTCCTTGATTTCGGGAACGAAGGGCGGTCTGATCTGTTTCCGTTCCAGAGCTTCCCAGGTGAAGGCAGGGGCCGCGCTCATAAAGAAGGGATGCTCTTTGAGTTCCTTGGCGTCGCGCGGTCCACCGCCCAGTCTCTGCCGTGGGTCTTTAACGAGCAGACGGGTAATGAAATCGCTCACGTTGGCACTCAGGTGGCTCGGCATCGCCGGCGGGTCGTTATTCAATATCCTCTTTGAAATATCGCTCTGGGTATTCTTCTCACCTTCCACCGTAAAAGGCGACGCACCAGTCAGTAATTCGAATGTCAGCACGCCTACACTCCACCAATCGACAGCCTGTGACATTACGAGATACCAGTTAATCGTTTTGACAATAATAAACGAATATATATATATATGTAACTAAATGATAATTCCGCTCTTATAAACATCTTTTTTACAAACACATTTTTTAAACAACAATGTGACCAATTTGCTTTTTTTTACCAAAATTTAATTTGATTATTATATTTAATATTTACAAAAATATTATAATATTTATAAATTATATAAAAATTTAAATCTACTTACATAGCCAAAGAATTAAAAGAGACTCAAACTGCTGTTCTTGCTCAAGTTGTTACTTGAGAAAGAATTAAAAAAACCGGATATGGGGATTAAATAACGTGGCTGGGTAATACAAAAAAGATAGGAAGGTCCAAGCTTACGATATTGTGTCCGTTTGGACCCCCTCGTACTACTTCCGGTGCCATGTACTCGATAGTCCCGCAAAAGGAGTAAGTACGCGCGTTGCCATTCCTTTCGTGCGGTAGGAACTCCTTGCTAAGACCGAAATCTGTCAGCACGATATGTCCTTCTCGATCGAGCAGTATATTTTCGAGCTTGATATCGCGATAAATAATACCAAGCTGCAATAAGAAAAGTTCGTAGGTTTAGTTTAATGTTTATCAAACATTTTATGATTGACTTGTCGAATTGGTGATTTATGCATCATTTTTTACCGTTTTTTATATTTTAAATAATTAGAAATAATTAATTACACGTTCCAATCAATTAAAAGAAGTAATCAACAGGCAAATATGTCATTATAAATAAATAGATTATTATTTCGTATCAGTATCTTGCACACAAGAAACCGATAAGTACTCGCTGTTATGAAACATGATGTTGTTTATGTGCGTATATTGTTATTACATTAATATATACCTCGTGAAGACGTTCCAACGCCAAAATAATTTCGCCGATATAAATTCGCACTGCATCTTCGGTAAAGCACTCGTTCTGATATAAGTGCATGAACATTTCGCCGCCAGGGATATATTCTGAAAATAGAAAAATGTTCAAAGAAAATCTGTATTTATATTTCGAAATATGAAAGTGGACTTTTCCCGTCGAGTGTAATCCACATTGTGACATTGATAAATGTGTCGGACAAAAGAGAAAATTGATATTCGTACCATGTATTCTTACCGTACGTAAATATAAATTCATGATTTCTTAAAACATTTTTATTATTTTCGGCTAAAATTTAATTTGCAGCAAACACGCGCGTCGTCGCAAATCCGTTTGAATTTATATTCTTTCGAATTCTAGCTTCTCGTGAAAATTTACCTAAGATTAAATAGAGTTTGTCTTCCGTTTGAAATGCATAGTACAGCGTTATCAGGAAGGGACTGTCTCTGATAGCTTCTAGAATTTGTCTCTCGGTCTTCGTATGCTCCGTTGTTTTCCGCCTGGATACGATGGTGGCCTTCTTCAGCACCTTCATGGCATAAAGTCGACCGGCATCGGTGCCCATCTTTTTTCGCACGAGAAATACCTTGCCGTAAGCTATGCAAAAACGAAACAATGTAGAAATGTGACTTGTAGTTTATGTATTAAGAACTCATTGGACACCATGGGAAAAGTGTCTAAAGTAAATCGCTATTACTTTGCAACAGAATGAAGTGAATTAAACGTTATTTTATAGAGAAAATCTGTCAATTTTGTTCCATATAGTGTGAAATAAGTATACAATTAAGTAATTAAAATAAACATGATAAAATATCTCAGGTAGCATATAATAACGTATATGAAAACATTGGATATGTTTAAGAAACGTATATGAAACGAACGAATATGCTACCTGAGATGTTACAAATTTATCTGGGATCCGTTTAGTGAGAAATATTTTCAAAATATTGTTCGTCTGAAGACACTGATAAGTTGAAACAAAGTGTTCGAAAATGTATTCGAGATATTTTCATGTTAAAAAGTGTATTTAACGGTTTTCAAAAACTTTCTGTGCGATTCCGATAAACGACACTTCAAAAATATTTATTACTAAGCGTCCTCCAGTCAGATTTGTAGCTCTTTTTTATGATTTATTTGATTTATATGTTTTATGTATTTTGTTATATGTTTATTTTAATTACTTAATCATTATACACTTTTTTTCTACTATTTGTCATAAAATTAACGGGTTTCCTCTAAACAAAATAATGTTTAATTCATTATGTTCTGTCCATTCGTTGAAAAATGATAGCAATTTATTTTAGATACCTTTCCAATGATCATCCTGTACAATACTGTACTTGTGCTTGAAAAATATTTAAAACTTGATTCTTATAATAATATGCATATTATTATTTGATTTATATGTTTTATGTATTTTGTTATATGTTTATTTTAATTACTTAATCATTATACACTTTTTTCTACTATTTGTCATAAAATTAACGGGTTTCCTATAATAATATATATGCATATTATTATGCATATATAATTATGCAATATATATAATATATGCATATTATTATAAGAATCAAGTTTTAAATATTTTTCAAGCACAAGTACAGTATTGTACAGGATGATCATTGGAAAGGTATCTAAAATAAATTGCTATTATTTTTCAACGAATGGACAGAACATAATGAATTAAACATTATTTTGTTTAGAGGAAACCCGTTAATTTTATGACAAATAGTAGAAAAAGTGTATAATGATTAAGTAATTAAAATAAACATATAACAAAATACATAAAACATATAAATCAAATAAATCATATTATTATATTATTATAATATAAATATTTGATGCCTTTATAAATATTACAGTAAACACTGTTAATAAGAATTGGTGCAATTATTAAATGCAAAAATAAATCACATCTCAAAGAAGACAATGGCTCTGTTCATTTCAGATGCGCTTTCGGCACTCGTTTTCTCTTTGCTCTTTCTTCCGCCAAAGACTAAATATGTATCCAATTCATCTTGAGTGCAAGAAACGCAAATAAAACGAGCAAAGCTATTATTTTGTAAAAATATAAAACCGCTTACCACCGGTGCCGAGAACTTTCAGCAGATCGAAATGCGTTCTGTCGACTTTCTGATTTCCATTATCCGTCAGATTTACTGTAACAGAAAATGACGCTCTCGTAAGACACACTTGTCACGTGTTTCAGAAGCGCTTGGACAGTGATATCCGGTCAATTGTGACATCCATTACGAGGATTCTGAAAGATTATTATGGAAAATTGATGATCTCCGTGTGCTCGCGTATCGTGAAGCGGCTCTTACGAGGTTTACGTAAAAACTGAAAGCCGTGTAAAATGTTGAAATGCAAAAATAATATGATTGTGCGCATCATTTTTCATACATTTATACATCCGACGGTGCTTATATAAGAAAAAGAAAGTATAGAAATATCTCGTTAAAAAAATTTTCATTAAAATACAACTGACTCAAAATTCATCTGCGGCCGGAAACAATGAGACATTATGCAAGATTAATGATTTTTGAATTTCTAACGGTCATACTATCTCTAACATTTGCATATTCTTCTCAGCGGTGGTGATTGTATGTGTTTCTTAGGCGCGAGGAGGGAAATGATGAAACATTGCGACGCGCGAACTAACAAAGCTGTTCGAGAGACAATGAAAAACTCTTCGCATTTATTTTTTTTTTTCCTTTCGGCGCCGTGTACAAGTGAGAAAACACGAAGGAAAAATATCACGAATGTCCGTGGCGTGGCGAAACGTCGCGTGGACGGCCGTGCGGAATGGAATGCCGCTTATTTGACGTGTCACGCGCAAAAGATACAAGCACCTGCGATGCGCGGCTAATATCGGCAGGTGCGCCGCCGTGAATGCACACGTGAGCAATTCACCGTCGCTGCTGCATTGCCACGGCTATGCTTCGGTACAACCGTGTTTATCGCGACCCCAGGTTTCGTGTAACAAAACACATGTGCTGTGTATGCTATCAATTAAAGTGACGGATCTAATAAACACCTACATGTAAAAATTGCAGAATTATACAACTTGCAAAATAACAACACTAAATATGCGGGATAAACAAGAAAGTAAATATGCAATGATTGATAAGTGTTTACTGATAACAATCAGTTGAGTAATCTTTCATGCGTAATTCAGAGAAACTGTGAACAAATGTGGTAAACAAATAACGGAAAAATATTTTGCTACAATCGAACGAGAGATAGTTTCTCTCGTTTATGATTAAATCAATTTCAAACAAACTGCAAGGAATTGATATTTAAGCAAAATATGTTTGAAATTTTTATATTGCGCCGTGCCGGAGTAATAAGTTCACGCAGGAAAATCCCGACTCGACCGAGACGACGGTCCCCGGACAGATCAGATAAAAATACAAGCTTTTATACCATGATTACCAAGCTTTAGCGCGCATCACGCTTAAGTTGCACGTCGCTTAAGTTCGCAAAGTGCATTCATGCAGCGAGTCCAAGAACTGCAGCTTCCTTTCTGCTTACAAAATCATTTATTAATCATCAACTAATAGCTTCCATTTTTAAGTATGTCTTATTATTGTGCTATTATTAAATAAATGGATATTATATGTATTTTTGAGGAAAGCAACTGAGATCGTTTTTAGCTCGTTAAATTTATGCTAGAGTTAGAAGCTAATCTTACAAATATTTGCGCGTTATCAGGCCCTGTAAAGATTATATTATTCTCCAAATGCAAAAAATGAAAGGATAAGACATGTTTGAGATAACGACTGCCCAACTGCTAATATGTATATTAGGAAAGGATGACTAATATAAAGACTGGTCCCCCCCTCCCGGCGTGCTCATTTCGTTGACTCATTCGGCGGCGACGCAAAGGAAAAATAGAGATCTCGAGATTGTGGCTACGGCCACAAGTAGGTCGCAATTCTGCACAGAAATTATTCCGTTAAACGGTATTACCACTTTCACTTTTGCACCTTCCCGTCTTTACCCTTTTGCACATTTTTTTTTTCTCCTTTTTTTTTCAGCAAAGAGAGAAACCCAGTTTTAGTCGACTATAAAGACGCGGCGAAAGGAATCGGAACCACAAGATCCGGCTAGATCGAGGTAAAGAAATCATTGCCACAGATTAATGCCATTTTGCCGAGACCGCGAAAACAAGTTTTGCACAATCGCTTGAAGTCTCCGGCGCTTTTTAACAACACTTGGATTGGATGTATGCAAATCACTCGTGCCATTGAAAAACTCGTTCAAAACCAAT